CCACACAGACCACAGGGAGAGCACCTCCTACTGGTCCCACTAGCACCTCTTCCAGCAGCAACCTTAGCTTTCCCAGGAGGTCTCCCACCCAGGTACTGACCAGCTTCCGTGGGCTGTCAGCTGTGATATGCAGGTTGATACAGCTGCTGTTGTTTCAAAAACCACTCCCCTTGACCTTTAAAGCCTTTTAATGTTAACCACAGATATGGGCTGGGAGAGAAGCTCATATCGAGTGCCTGTAGAGGAAAGCTACCTTGGGAAAAATCAGTCTGCTGGTGGATCAATTTTTTGTCCGGGCCTGAGCAAATTTTCTTGTTTTCCGTCTTACCAAGTACAGTACTTGGCATTCTGTGTAGGCCTGCATATTAAAGTGCGTATTTTATTTGTTCTTGGCTGGAGACATCTGCAGTCTTATTTTGTGAGATGCTTTGGAGCACAGAATAGTTTGCCCATTTGTCTTCAAACACTAAAATTGGTTGAAAGACTTAAATAGTCATTTTATTTAGTAATAAAACATCAGTGTGTGATGTAAGATTTTGAGAAGTGAATAAGGCACAAATGGTTTGATATTTCACTTTGTATTTGTAACAATTATGGGGTGTATATCCTCTCTCCAGACTGGAGTATACCCCTCGTTTGTGTGCTCCAGGAAGACTTTTTTCTCTTTTAGTTTGTAAAACGCCTCCCTCATTGCTCCCTTAATAACGTTAACCTTTTCATTAAGTCTAAACAGCGAAGTTAATTGGAAAATCGACCTACCTCGTTAAACCAGTCGAGTTACAATGACTTGTAATGACTTACAACTGTGTGCCCCATCTGTACCTCGTACCACGCCCTCGGGCATTCCTCTGCGCTCAAAGCAGAAGCGCATTTCCAAAATGTTGTCGGTCTTCCAGTTCTAGAATTGAATTAACATAATTGATCTAACATTGCAATCTTTCTAAAATGCCCATCAACAAGTCGCTAAAGATGCAATTAGTGCTGTTTTCCCCCGTTAATTCCTTTGTAATTGGCTAATTTACTTTTCCCAGATGTATGCCATGCAATTATAATTTTCATTTAAAGGTTTTACACCTATAAAACATCCACATACATTGATTTTTCTCTTTTATTCTTAAATTACACAACGGAGAGTTTTAACTTCACGGACACTGCCGTTTTGCTAATATTCATCCTAAGACTAGCTTTTAAGAACATCCTTTAATTTTGATTTGTGTTTTTACGTACTAGCTCGATT